TGGACAAGCCAGGGAAGACTCCAAGACCATCAAGCCAACAAGGGCCATTTAAACTTAGCTTTTTCAGAATTAATGAAGATGAACAGAAAAAATAGAAAACAGAATGTGGTCAGCTTCAGAATACTTTAATGCCTCTTTATCTATTGATAATGTCGAATCAATGAAAGCATGGGCTTTCCCAGGTTTTTTTGTCGAATCTAAAAAAACTGGTAGGCTTGGCAGTGCAGAGTAATCAAAGCCAAATGTTCACAATGAGTTCTTAAATAAGTGAAGACATTAAAAACATAAACCAAGGATAAAAGTATTAAAGCATCTTGCCGAGGTGCTTTTTTAATTAAGGCATTCTTACACCTAATGTGAAAACTGACAAAAGTTCAGTTCGTGATTTCAAGAGGTCTTGGTAGGGCACATGGTCATCTGCCACTAGAAACCCAGTAGTGATCTAGGATTTAGAACTAAGGGATAGATAACTCTTGATGAGGCTCTAAATAAATGAGCAGATTCCTCACTCAATTCTGGCTGACTCCATAAAAGACATTCAACTCTGATTTTTATCACCCTGGTGGATTTTATGATTTTGTGAAGTAATATGTCTAAGATTTTTGAACCCCATACTAAACAAAATAATCTAACAATGGGATAGACTATTATAAGTAGTACTGTTCTTAAAAGTCCTTATGATTTCCTTATCTGACATCAATGTATCCATTGTTAGAAAGACTCAGATTTTGGGCAATGGTGCCAATACCGAAAGATGAACCAGTGTCTTCCATCCCATTCATATGTTGCCTCAAAGCCCTGTGGCTATCTAAACTTTCTATTGGGAACCCCAACTATCACAACAAACAATTTCCAAAAGCTTACATCTTAGTTACCATACTAGATCTAGGCTTTAAAAAATGCCATTTGAGAAGAGAGGAAGGCATGGCATGAGGGCATAGGTCCATGGAATCCGAAGCCACATCTACATATTCAGCAATCACTGATTGAACACCTACTTCATGCCAGGCATGTGCAAGGTATAAAACATAAATGAGTAGTCTGAAAGTTGAACAAATTTTATGTGGCTTACAGATTCATTTTCCACATAATGCCCCAGAGGTCGTCAACCAACTTATAGTAGAGATTAAAACTTGGCCACTTTTTCAGTTAATGGTGGGGTCCAGGGTTTGTGAAACCATCCTCTAACGTTGCATCAGCAAAAACCTGATTTTAAAAGGCAACTTGCCCTTACCAAAATGGCTGAGACTTAGAGGTAGACGTGAGGCCTGCGCTTTGGATGCACCGTGACCTTTCTGGAGCAGTCTTGGGCTCCGCATCAGGGCCACAAGCCAGGGTGGACCATGTATGTGTTGCTGTGCACAGCTCCATGAGTTCAAGGGCAGGCCGGCTCTCTTTTCTAAGCTTGCTCAGATCTTCAGCCAGCTTACACACTTAGGAAGTCGCCCTGCCCTTGTGGAGAACAGACATTTACAAAAGATGGCCTGGAATTTTTCTCTGGTTTCATTCAGTCAGGGCAACTATTCCACAGACAAACCCTATCAGCAGTGGAGGAAAGAACTGGACATTGTATTCTCTGGCAAAAAGGCACATAGTGCTGGGCCCCTCCACGTGGGTCCATAGTGACATAGTTAAGGGTGTAAGGAAGGTTGATCTTTTTTCCACCTTCCTCTTCTTTCCTCCCGTAGAAAACAAGATTCATTGTGTTTTCCTTAAATTTACCTTCATTAATTGTATTAGGTTTCGGCAAAGCTTGTTCCATGAGCACACCCGATGGAGAATGTTTTCTTTACCAAAGTTCACGATTCTCCTATTCAAATCCCTAATTTCCATCGTTTCACTCCAGTGCTTTAGTGCTCCTGAGGCCTTTCAGGAATGAGCTCAATTATCAACCCCGAGTGAATCTGAAACCTGATTCAGTCTTCTTATGATCTGATTAAAGCAACGGGGTTTTATAAATGTCACTAAAGAAATAGTCAAACCTCAACTGCTAGAGGTTGGCCAGGCAATAATTTCCTCCTGTGAACTTGAGGCTTATTATATTTCGAATATTTGAAGCAGATCAGTGGTCCGGTGGTCATTGTGTGTCTTAGGGGGCTAAGATTTTACCATGAAAAAAACACTCCTTGTAACACTTGGCATGCACATTCCAAAAAAAAAAAAAAAACCTCCTATCAAGAGACTGGCAGTTTTAAAATTAATTATTTGAGCTTGAACAACTCAAAAGCATCATCAAATTAAAACAAGGTTATTTGGCACAGAGGTTATTGCCCATCATGTCTTCTAATTACTTTTCTGTATTTTGAAAAAACAAAACAAAACATTAAGTGCTGAGATAATGAACTTTGGGGGCGGTGTTCCGCAGCAATCCCTTGGTGATGGAAAAACTGTGCTGGCTTCCAAACAGACCTGACTTCCAAACAGACCCATGTGATCGTTCCCAGAAAGATCTGGTTGTAGGATGTGGCAACTCTAATGCCCAGTCTCCTCAGAACACCTTTACAACACACTAGTCACAAACTGCACACATAGTTATGACAGCAAGAGTAATAAAAAAAAAGACACAGAATGCTTTTTAAAAAAAATTCAACTTTATTGAAGTATAATTTACATATAATTAAGTGCATCTATTTTAAGTGTGTTGTTTAATGAGTTTTGACAAATGCACACTGTTGTGTGTCCGTCAGTACAATCAAGGTATAGCACATTTCGGTCACCCCCAAAACCTCCCAGTGTCCCCATGGCCAATTCCCACCAACCCTCTCACTTTCCAGCCCCTTGAAACTACTGATCTGTTTTCTGTTACTATAGCTTAGAATTTCATATAAATGAAATCATATAGTATGTACTCTTTTGTGTCTGGCTTCTTTCATTCAGCAAAATGTTTTTAAAAATTCATCCATGTTGCTATGTGTATCAGTAGTTTGTTCTGACTGCTAAGCAGTATTTCATTGTATGGGTCTACCAAATTTTGTTTATCTGCTCCCCTGTTGATGGACATTTGGTTATTTCCCATATTTTTGTTATTTGAATAAAGCTGCTATAAGCCTTTGTGTGGACACACCAGCTCTTTTTTAAAAGAATAAATGTAAGAAATCTAAAAGGTTTATGCAAAGGCCATAAGTTCAGATGTCAAAGGGGAGAAGCGGTTAATGTAAATGTGGGAAGCAGGCTGGGTATAAGACAAAAGGGAGTGGTGGGGACTATAACAATTTGCTACAGGTACAGTTTGCAACTCCTAGTTTACAGAAATAATGTTAAGAAATCTTAAATGGTAATGAACTCAGACTATCAAAAGAAAAGGCTTTACAGGTTAACTCATTCCTTTGGGTCAGGGAACAAAGAGCCCTTTTCAGACTTTTGGGCATCATGGCATAAAAGTCAGGAACATAATATTTGAGCTTAGACAGCCTTGGTTTGAATTTTTGATCCATACCTACTAGTTGCGTGACCCTGGACAAGTTTCCCCAACTTTTTGAGCCTCAGTTTCCCCATCTGTAAAGTGGAGATAATACGAATAGTAGCTATCTCATTGGGTGGTGGTAAAGAATAAATGAAATAAAGGTATGGTTGGAATTAGCCTACATGCTTTTAGAAATAAATGCTGATTCTCTCCCTCACTTTGGCCTAAGCTGCTTGCCAGGCACTTTACTCTCATTATTTCATTTTATTAAATCCTCATTCCATTTTGCTAAAAAGGAAACTGAGTCTCAGAGAGGTGGTGAGCCAAATGATGAGAGCCGAGAAGGAGAGCCACCAGCTCTGGCTGGATTTTGCAATGCTTCCCTAAAGCATAAGCCAATGGTACAACAGTCTTGGGGACCCTAGATGTATCTCTTCACACATTTGGGGCAAAGCTCATCTCTCCCCACCCGTTCCAGTCTCTGACTCTGGTCCACAGCCTACATGTCTACTATGCTCAGGAGCAGCCGGGGACAGAGTTTTTCTGAGAACACATCTTGGGCTGATTCTAATCATGCTTTCAACCAAGTGTCTCTCCCACTAGGCAACACAGTGCTGCTCAACACTACTTTTCCAGGCCCTGGTACAATGCCTGGCACGTAGTAGGACCTTGATAATCGTGAATCAAATGAAGAAGTGAATGAGTATCCTAAGAATAATACAGCTGCTACCAACAAGGGCATTCTCCCTATTGCCTGTACACACACACATAGCTTGACTCCATGAATGATTGTGATAAAATGTAATTGTATCCAAATAAAAGGAGAATTAAGCAGATAATTTCTATAGATGTTCCTTCTGAGCATATAGATTCTCTATTGAAGTTTAAATAAAAGACTACAGTCATTTTCTTTAAATAATGTGTGTGTGTGTGTATGTGTGAGATATGACAAACTGACTTACCAAAAAGTTACTGTGAAGTTCAACTAATGAAAAAAATTATATTTAACTATTCTCTATTGAAGTTTAAATAAAAGACTACAGTCATTTTCTTTAAATAATGTGTGTGTGTGTATGTGTGAGATATGACAAACTGACTTACCAAAAAGTTACTGTGAAGTTCAACTAATGAAAAAAATTATATTTAACTGAAATATTAGGGAATATCTGGATACTAAACATTTTATTTCTTGTGAAATAACTTTTAACTCTTTGACATTGGTTTGTTTCAGTTTTCACTTGCTTATGAGAATTTAGGAGCAATTCCTACCAAGAATGCCTTTCTGGAGTTTTTCTTCCTAGATTAATTGTGGGGATAAAATAATACCAAAGTGTTTCAACTTCCAGCAGTGTATGGTAGGACAGGACTTATCACAAGGGATAGATCAAAGATCTTAAATGATTAGGTGTTCTATGAAGTGCATGGGGGAGGAGAAAATGGGGAGTTGATATTCAAAAGGTATAAAGTTTCAGTTATGTAAGATGGTTAAGTTCTAGAGATCTGCCATACAACATTATGTTTATAGTTAACAATACTGAATTGTATACAGAAACACTTATGAGGATGGTACATCTCATGTTAAGTGCTATTACCACAATTTATCTAAAAAGAAAAAAAAATATTTTTAGGAACCTCTTTCTCTTTGCAGGCCCTTGATGTAATGGATTTTATGTTGGGCTGGCTTTTTCAGTGAGAGATCGACTTGTGGGTCACAGAATCACACCTTCAGAGCTGGAAGGGACCCCGGATAGCACAGAGTTTCAAATCCTCACTTCACTGAAAAAGAAAGTGAAATGACTTGTTCAGTTCACAAAAGACTTGTTCAGTTTTATGACTTGCTCAGTTCATAAAAGAAAGTGAAATGACTTGTTCAATTCACAAAGCAAATAAGTGGCGTCATAATACTAACTCCAGTGCTAACAAATGCTGTAGAGTGCCAAATTGCTTTCTAGAAAGGCAATAGCAATTAATATTGCCACCAGCAATACATGATATTATCGCTACATCTCAGTACAGTATTTCTAAGAAATATCTTTTCCTTGCAACAAACTTTTTTTTTTAAATCAAAGAGGAAGTGAAATTTTTAGTGTGGAGTAGATAATAGTATTAAATGCAGAATATCTTTGCATTGGCCATTAAATTTAGTTTTATCTACCTTTAATGTTGTATAAGTCAATATAGTGATGTTTACACAATTAAACATTAGTAAAATTTCAGATGTATAATTTGCACCCAATTAATTAAAAAGTATTTCGTATTAATTCTTTTAGCAAAGATTTATTGAGTGTCTTCTACATAGCAGGCACTGTTTGGGCCACATGAGATGTGTCAGTGAACAAAACAGACACCCCTTCATATATTTAATTTACCTGGCCAAGCCTCAGAGGCATTTAAGTTTGCAGCATCTTCTATACATTATGCCGTTTTGTATTTATTCTTTTGCAAATATTTACTTATTCATTTATCAAACACATATATATTGGTTTACAACACTGTATATTGGTTGCTTACATTGTGGTAGACATTCTTCTAGGATCGCAGGACAATCCAGTAAACAAAATGCAGATCTTCCCTCAGGGGACTTGTCTTCTAGTTGGGGTGCTTACAGTAAACAATAAATACAATAAGTAAGTGGTAACATGAGCCCCATAGGATTCCCCTTCTGGGGGAACCCCTGATCTGTGTAGGTCCGAGTGCTCACCGCTATAGGATCACCAATCACGCTTGTCAGACAGATCTTAAAGGAAAGCCTTTTTATTTTGGAAGATGACAACTGGGAGACAGAAGGTAAAGTCCCAGCTGCCTCCATGATTGACTGAGGGCTGGGGTTTATACAGGTAAATGTATTGGGTGAAACAAGATGCTTTGAGAGATGCAAACAGGATATAGGATGTCTTCATGCATGATGGACAGCTCCTTCCTGTTTTGTGAGACAGGATGCTTTGAAATATGTATCGGGATATATTGGGTGAGACAGGATGTCTGCTTTCCATACAATCTTAGTTAATCATTAAGGGTAGCTATAAAGGGAAAACAAAGTTAAGTTTATAGTATATACACGAATGTGGGGAGTTTTCTACATTTACACTCAGATTGGTTTTTGTTTTGCTTTGACATGCCCCCATTTTATTTCAAGTACTTTCCTACTTTATGGCTGCACAAAATTTTCCAGACTCATCTTGTTTATTCCTTGTCCCTGCCTTGTCACTTCTCCAGGAGTCCTGGTTCCTTTTAGTGAAGGCTGTTGTTTAGAAACCAAGATCTGGGCACCAGATATGCTCTTTGAAAGTAGTTATCATTGCTTCTAGGTCCCCCGATACTTCCTATAATATAGAAAATTATATTTCTATAAACTGTATTATAAATATATAGCCATAAATACTATCTATACCCATTAATATTTCTGTATGTATATATACATACAGAAATATTAATGGGTATAGATATATTTGTGTGTGTGTGTGTGTGCGCGTGTGTGCGTGTGTGTTGTGTGTATGTATGTAATGTTATGAGTTCATATTGATGCTTTGGATTCCAATCCAACACCACAGACTTCATTTTTTTTTTTTTTTGTCTTTTTGTCTTTTTTCGTGACCGGCAACGGATTGCAATCCTCAGTGTCGCGCCCGTACCGGACCGGGACCCGCAACGGGATTGCAACCCTCGGCGTCCGGCAACGGATTGCAATCCTCAGTGTCGCGCCCGTACCGGACCGGGACCGGCAACGGGATTGCAACCCTCGGCATTGCCCCCGCTCCTTGCTCAGCCAGTGAGCCGCAGGTCTGCACGTGGGATCCGAACCCTCGGCGGGAGCGCCGCCGCACTTCCCAAGCGGCGCACTGTAGCAGTGCGCCACCGGGCCAGCCCGAGACTTCATTTTAACCTTTTCCCATCCTTATTTGTAACTTCTTTCTCCAACAGTAAGAAACCTGGTTGTGATCATCTACAACCTATTTTCTTATTTTTTCAACTCTAGTAAACACTTAATGAGACACATGTTCACTAAATGGAGTATAGCATTTATGAATAGTTCTTTTTGTCTTTAGCCTGATGGTACCCAGTCAAGATACAGTTTTCCACAGTTACTTAAATCAGTACTTTTCATTCCTACCCCTTCAGGGTGTTCATGTTATTCATTTGTTAGTGTTTGTAACCAGTTTAAGTTCCCTCTATATCCCGATTGGTTTTGTCTATTTTTTAGGGAATAAAAAAAAAATACTACTATGGTTTTAATAGGCAAAGCCATATGAAAAGATAGACCCACAGATGCTATTAACTTTAAAAAACTTAGTTCTTGGTACAGTGCTTGGCAATTCAATTAATATTTATTGAATAAAATAATTAATTAACGAATATTTTCTTGAAATTTACTATCCTACTTGAAATTTAAGTATCCTTACCCTTCTCCCAATACACACAAAATGGCAACTGTATGGTAATGGTTGTGTTGATTAATTCAATTGTGGTAATCATTACACAATGTATACATACATATATCAAATTATCACATTGTACACCCTAAGTTTATACAATTTTATTTGCCAATTATTCCTCAATAAAGCTGGAGAAAAATGAAAGCTTCCCAGGTGATTCTAATGTGGGAAAAAAATAATTAGTATTAATTAATTCAGACTTTTGCACAAATTTGAGAAATGCCAAATTTGTCAAAGACTTCTCAAAGACTGGGCAATCCCCATATCAGACTTTATGTTAGCCCAAAAGCAGTTACCCATAATACCATTTTCTTATCCTCACGTTTCTTTACTTTTAAGGAATGTGAGGAATCTTTTATCCATTTCCTATGTCTCATTGTAGAATTTAAGGAACATTCAAATAAAGGGACACATTTAATTATCTCACAATAAATCTGCATGCTTCTCTGTAATGCGATAGTTTGACACAAACAATTTAAATTTCATTGTTCAAAATGGGAGTGGGGGTGGAGGATTGGTAGAATGTTTCATCTCTTTCTGTTATTTGCTATTGTTTATTACTTTATATACTTTATTGCTAAAGTACGTAAACATAGGCTTCTTCATAAAGCCTGTAAACATGTTTTCCTCACTACAGTGGGCAATTGAAGACCTAGATACAAAGGAATAATAAAAAGCTACTCTAGAAAGAGTTTTCTGAGGGGAGTCCTGAGTTAGAGTCCCGTCAGCTGGACTTGTCCTGCATGTGCTCAGCCTGGTTTGTAAGCATCAGGTGGCCTTGCTGTTGCAGATGTTTCCAGGTGTGCTTGTTTGCTAGCAAACTAGGGTGTTCACCAAAACAGTATCTGTCCCCCTGTTCCTTTCTACACTCCTCATTGCCCCTCATGCTCCCTTTTCCTCCCAAATCATGCTTTCAAGAAAGAATCTGCATAGTTTACTCCAACTTTCATGAATTAAAGCCCACAGGGTGGGGGAAAGAAGGAAACTGCATTTGGGGACACATACCAGGTGCTGGGTTGGGGGATCTACATACATTCATTTTAAAAAAATATTCTAAGTCTCATGTTTAAAATGAGGAATGGAGGAGATTTGATCACCATGTTAAAAGAATTTCAGTGAGAAAGTAAAAAAAAAAAAATTAGACAAATGGAGTCATGCATTTTGTGAAGCTTTTTGTGATAGCTGCTCTACCCAACCCATTGGGAAGGCTGGAATAACATGATCTTTAATGTTTGCTTGTCCCTGGCTAGTCTAGCCCCTAATACTCTAGATTCTGAACGGTATTAGGGGAAGAATAACTTGCTTTTTAAAATTGACAATCAGAACAGATTCTCTTCTGTGATTGAAGTTCATTTCACAAATGTTTATCAAGCTTCTGCTTCATAAATCTCATTTCCTGTAAGGATGAATAAGACACCACCACTGTCTTCAAGAAGCTCACAGCCTAGTGATAACATATACACAGAGCGTGATTAGAGAATGTGTATGTGTGTTTGTCGGTGAGGGTCTCCATGCCATGTGACTTTTGCTGTTTAATCTCCATCAGGCTGCAGGACTCTCACGAATCCCACGTAAAAGGTTCTGATTTCCTTTTAACCTACCATAAACATGGCCACTTTCTCTGGCTCTCAGACGATAATAAACATGGTGGGCGAGTGACAAATAACTCTATGAGGGCTGTTCTGTTTCCAGCCGGAAGGAGCTCCCTTATCCTTGTTAGTGCTACACAGCATTTAGGGGCTTGTGACTGGTGTCAAAGCACTCTCTTCTCTTCCAAGATACATTACTTTTTCTTACTCTTGTCTTGATTCACTCAGTGGTGTCTATTCATGCGCTTGTACCAATACAGGGTGGGTGCGAGGGCATGTTGTTATCTTGGCTTCCTGGCAGAGTTGAGAGAGACACCTGAACACCTCATCCCAAGAACAGCCTCATCCCCCTAGCAGCTTCTTTCCCCGCCATTGCAGGTGATCAACACAGAACAAGAGAAGAGGACAGCTGGGCGACAGCTGTGAATGTCCACTTTTCCCTCCTGTCTCTTTGGAGTCCTGGGTGTGGGACGGGATTCCCATTTGGTGTTGATTTTCTCAGGAATTGCCTAGGACTTAAGGAGAAAAGTGACTTCTAAGTCTGTTCTTGGACTCACCCCAGCCAGTTTCACTAAAATGCTAGCTGTTCCAATAGCTAAACATCTTGGGTGTACCCTGTTTATTGTGATGTACTTTCTGAAGGGCCATGTGCTCTTGACTGGTGTGTTTCAGGGCCTGGTTGTCCTGCACACAGTAACCACAGAGTGGGCAAAATTTGCACAAGCACACACACTATGTCCTCGTCCTCGGGGCCATGCAGTGTTGGCAGTTGCAGAGAGACTCCTGAGAGGCAGACAGTGTCTCTGGCTGCCAGCTTTCCTTTGCATGCATCTCAAAATCTAGAGAAAGGCTGAAAGCAAAGAGAATGTCCTAGGAAAGAGAAACAGAGCATAAATAACCATTGCTACTCTGGTGTTACAGAAACATGAAACAATTATAAGTTCTCTGACACTTCCTCATCCCAAAAGATAATGTCTTGGACCTCTATGAATGAAATAAAAAAGACAGTAACAATGAGGAAGACAATGCTGATATTTCTATTTATGTCACTGAGTTTCCTGTAGAACTTGGGTAAAGACCTCACAGCGTTGCCTAGAGTTGTAAATACCAGCTACATACACACGAGAGTATAGACGTCCACAACAAGCCTCTGGTGGAAAAGAAAGCAAGTTGCAGAGTAACATTTACCATAAGCTGTGTGATTGCATGTGCATGTATGAACACTTTATAAGTATTCTAAAAGTATTTACAAGTCATGAAAAGATTCACAAATGGCTACCATGGACTATCTCACAGGATGGGGGCAGCAGAGTGGGGAGAAGAGTAAAAGGGGTGGAGATAGACACGCTGTTAATTTTATTTCTTTATATACCTCAAATCTGTTCAAATCGTTATAATACACGTTTTTTATATTTATAATTATATTTATATATATTTATATTTATAATTAGGAAAAAAAAAGGCATGTTGTTTTTTAAAGTAGCTGGAAGGTCTGCTTGTGTGCCTGGGGCTGTCTGAGAGGCAGATTAAATCAGAGCCTTGCTAATCAGCGGGGAGTGTGGTGGGCCAGACCGAGCCC